AATACTGATTGACCCTATTCGATACATCAATCGGTTCTCCACGAACATTCACAGCTGAATTGATCGAGCAAATTAACGCAACGAGGGAATGGGAAACTCCATGTTTGGCTGCTTTAATTTCGTATGTGACAATCAGTATCACGTATTCGTCAATCCAATACAGATTGGAATCCTAAACATTATAAGTGGGGTGTGGGGGTGTGGTAGGTCTCACACCCGGTAAACACGCCTACAATGATCAGATCCATTGTATGCATACGATATCATTTGAACCGATATTTGTGTGTGAACATATTGTTAGTTAAAGCTAAAACCTCCCTTCGCCCTGAAAAGCACACACCGTTGATAAGGGATTACTTCAGGTTTACGGTCAAACCAGACTCAAGTTGCCTTAGCTAATTCGAGTAAAACGACAACAGCAGGTTTGGTGTTGATCATCATTTTCGCCTGTTCTCAATCAGTTGTCTACGCAAATCTTTTATCCTGGCTTTTCTTAAACATGAACTGCTCCCCCCCCCTCTTGTTTGTCCGATCAACTACAAATGTAATAATTCGTTAGGAAAGAATCAAACCTTGTTCGTTTGGCCCATCGTTATCATAAAACATTATCGTGTATGGTCTTATTCTTGTAACACTCCACTCGATTCAGCGTGCGTAGACATCTGATTGAGAGCACGCGAAATCGATCCCACATATCGATCCTGCTCTTGGTTTGCTACTTGTTTCGGACCAGTGATCATGCCATATTACAGTCGATCGAATTCTTGTAACTGCCTCTTATAGGAACTTTTCAATAAAGCCAAAGTTTTAGTCCGTAGACTGAACACGGAACCGGCAGATTAGGAATTCCACTCATATATTTAAAAAAACAGTATGGCAGATAAAATCGGTAACATTGGTTATCGAACATTTTAACTGTTGAACCATATATCGTTTGCCAGATTTAAAGATGGGCTTTTTGGGTCTAGAAGTCAAACCTAGATAAGCTTTGTTAATCGACAGAATCGATTATCCACCTCCACATCTCATCAAAATTTTACAGTTGAAATGTGGAACCCAATCAACAGTGGAATTGTCTATGACAAAAGTTTCGCGTGATTAGATTGAGCTCCAGATTAGGGGTCAACTGTGAATCTTATCTATTGGGTGATGCTTACACGACCTGATTCACGCAACTGACCTGTAACAATTGAAACGGGTTGTGACCAATGTCTAAAGATGAAGTTGCCGGTTACCGTCCAGAAAAGAAAGTTGAACTAATGAGAGTACTATTCAAAATAAACTGAAATTGAGGGGCGGGTGTAGATTGGTAGTGGCCTCTGTGAAATAGATTATGAGAATGCTTCTTAGCCTTTTACCTCAAAATGCTGTCATGACAAGAGCAATTTCAAAATCTCTGATGTTTAGTTCTATTGTCGAATTTGGTGTCCGAAGTCAATACTTCTATTAACAATAAAGTTTCATTGTTACTGCATGGATCTCTTTACGTCTGTTCATGTGTAATATAGCACAATTGAGAACGAACGCTGTGTTCATTAGAACGCTATCAATCAGTAAACAAATGGGCGGATTTACAGTGGCCCGGCTCGAATACAACAGCTACGAGACCAGGAGCCGACAGCTTCTACTGTTCGACCACTGCCACATTGTGTATTTGGATTGATACTGTGTACCGACGTATAGAATTTCCTGTATTTCACATGTGCTTGAGTTGATTCTAACTGAAATAGCATGTGTCCACATCATTTTCTTCGGTGATTTTTTTCCGTTGCCGCGTCTATGAGGAAAACAAAAATTAGGATCGTACTCAGTGCAACACCATTGCAGCGTATGTGTGTGTGTGTGTGTGTGTGTGTGTGTGTGTGAGTCTGGGGTGAGAGGGGGAGAGTATAGTGTTTCTCGTGATCTGAACAGTTTATCCCGGTTAAACGTCAGGACTGGAGGAGTCGCAGTGTTTCAACACCAACTAGAAAAACGCAACGCGGTGCTTGGTTGCAGGGTGAATACCGGGCAAGTGAGGCCACGGTATCGTTAAGGATGATCTCGGTCAGGATTGTTTTCGAATGAACCATTGAGTTTGTGCAATTTCACTCCTGTTCAGAAAGAAGGGAGTGTTCCAGCGTTCCAACAAGTTCCGGTAATACTAATGGTTCTCCAACATAAGAATATACGTGTTAACAAAATTGATCTTGGTCATCCATTTTGTGCACTGTCACTCGGCTTATACAATCTTATCAAACAAGGGAATATTGGAGTTGAAATTGATCATTGGAATAAGAGGGAGAGCAACTGAGTTACGTAATTGGATTGGGCTTCAGGTTGAAGTTATGTTACTCGCACTGATGGGGAACGAAAAGATGCTTTCATTACCTCTGATTTATATATTTCTTCTCATTACCCGCGGTTAGTGGTACATTGCAAGGGCTGAATGTCGCCTGTCAGTCAGGATCCGAAAAAATGTCCTAAAACACCTTGATTCGGGAAGGAAAATTATCATCAATGAGGATGAAGTTGTCGAAAACGAGCTTGTTTGCTCCTCGTGTTGTTCTGTCAATATCACAATGGGAATTTTCAGTGAATCATGGAGTGCAATTGTATACATTCCCGTCATCAATCCCAAACACTGAAAGCGTCTCGAGTCAATAAAAAGCCGCAAAACTCATAGATTTTTTTGCGATTTCTCGAATCTTTACTTACATGTCACTTAAAACAAACGCATTTGTTCCATACCATTTGTGACGCAACTGTTGTTGCCGTGATAGTGGTGAAATCAAATAACATACGGCCCTAGCTTGCACGTTGTGTGGCATGTTACTCCGTCTCCTTTCAACACCACCCTGTTTTACTACTTATGCAAGTTTGTCATCGTCTCACCCTGCAACTAAACCCAATCGGGGAATTCACTTGTCCATCACCTGTCACAATGACTTATTTGAACTAGTATGTTTCTGTGTCTGTCAGACTTTTATAAATGTGCGTCTACAGCTTAATCAGGGCACAAGAAATTTTCTCGGTTTCAGCTTTCACAACCATTGACCATGCATTTTTCATGTGCTCCATTTAGTCGCTGTTTTCGGGCCACTCGTTTGGATAAAAAAGCAGAATGAAGATTGGAATGTTTACAGCAGAGTCCAAGTGAAAATACAGAAATCATACAGACTGAATAAATGCACGAACACCTGTTTGCGACACTAAGCCATGTCACTCAGTGCCTCTAACNCTCTAACCACCGGTTACCATCATCTCTGGTTTCCCGTCCAGGAAGCTTAAGGAGACCTATGCAACCCAGTGTTCTAGTTAGGGTTTTCATACCCTCATGCCAGGTCTTAGTTTGACTTCCCTTAAACCTTTTCCATACGCTGCAGCCTCTGTAAACATCGCGCCCCGTGGCAACTAGAAATTGTTGACCAATAGAAATTCTATCAACATACATCTTTTTGTGCCATCGAAATGAATAAAACTGAGGTGGCTTAAATTAGTAATATCATTTTGCAATGTGGATCTCTACGCGTAAAAAACAAACAAAGTTTGAGCTCAAAAGCTAATAAGCACTGTACAATTGTTTCAGTCTGGTTGGGTCACATCAGTAGCGCATATCCATCGACCCAACTGGGATCGAACCCGGAAGCGCAAGCACATTAACTAAACCGTCACCGAGCAGCCATTCAGACCGCTTTTTTCATTTTATCTTTACATGATGTAGCACAGCCAATCTTCGCTGTCTTGTTGTGTGCATCGCACATCATTCATCTCAGCACTAGCCTTCGTGATTATGGCTCGATTGGAACCATTCTCACCTGACTGTAAGATAAATACACGCGAGTATAGACGAGTTTTCAGTGAAGAGCTATGGTCAGCCAAAAGTTGTTTGGGGATGGTGTGCGACGGTCACGGGATCACCACTTTACACATGGACACCGGATCTCGTTACAAATGTCACAAAATATATCTGATTGAAGTATTTGCTATTCTTGTCACTATGCTCAAGAGGTGATTAAATACTCATTAACAGCGATGAGTAATATTAAGGTTTAATTACTAATTTGATCCTCAGAGCAAGATCTCTTTTAAATAAAATCTACTGTAGGGAGTTGATTTCAAAGATGTTTCTTCTCTGACCATTACATCACAGTTCGTACAACTAGGATAGTTACATACACAAAACGAGAGTAGATAAAATGGGTGGTCCCCAATTCCACGTATGCTATTTGGCCTGGATGTGATTGCAACTAGGATTATCAAGTAAAAATTGGGAGGGTGGAAGGCCATGAGGGACACAACTGTGGCTAAGAGGCAAAGCTTAATCGGTTTAGATTGGTTTTCTTCTCGGACCCGGTGGATGAGAGGAAGTCCCCTGGGTGACCCTACTCCATATTAAACGAAGAGATTGCGCTTGTGATTAGCTTCTTGACTCCAGAGTACAATCATGCCCAATGATGCTCGCGAATTAGCTGAGTCACGAACTTCTGTTCGTCCGGATCAAGTGAAAGAATAAACACGAAATGAGATCACAAATCCAGGAGCTTTAGCTTTGGGTTGAACTCTGACACCGAATCGGGCACAGAGGACTGCCGGTTTTCTCTTCAACTAGTCCTCGTTTTTTGTAGATAATTATCGCTCAGGGGTTTATTCTAGTTTCATAAACTGTCGTGTATTGAGGACCAATCACTGAGAACCAGTCGCTTCATTATGTATTGTTCAGAATGTTTGTTGATTGTCTAATGGGACAATATATTTGTTTTGTTGTGACATCCAATGACTGACGCTCCCTTTTTTCCTGTGTATTACAGACTCTGACCTCAAAATGAATTGCACTTGTGCCTCGAACCGAGTTCCCGAACTGGCTCACATACGTGCCTCAATCCCACTATCTTGACACGTTCGTCGTTCCTCTATCGTCGTCATCATCATCAATTTTGTGTGCCCTTGTGGTGGCACCCAGCCAGCCACGTGGTAGCCAATACGAATGCGCAACCACGCACTGGATTCGTCGTATCATAATGTTCCCCACTCACGTGAATGAAGAGTATCACATATTTAATGCATCGACAAAAATCTCAGCATACGGTTACATTTATTATGCGAGTCTATACGAGAGTGAATCATATGCCATCTCGGTGGTCCTGGTTCTACTCGCCTTGATCGGTATTGGGGCCACATTAATCCTGTTTCTGATGCATATTTGTGCTATCTGTTTTGCGTACCATCATCTTTACCAGTCAGTACATCTATCCGTCAGTCCGACTCAAACTGGACGTCTTCCCTTCCCGCATCGCGTTTGGCATTCACTGTGTCGATCGTGTCGTCGTATGTGCAGTTTCGTGACGACACTGTTTCACCGTGGTCGTTTGAAATCCACTCTACCAGTTGTGGGTAGTCCCACACGAGAGCCAATCAGTAAACCAACGATCATACAACTGCCGAAACTGCTGGTTAGTGGATCTACTTCATCCTGTCCTACACTGAAAATCCCAGGTGTATCAATCATTAAACCATTAACCGGAGTCGATATGAATTTGGAAGTTAATTTGACCTCCTACTTTCTCCTGGGCTATCCCAAATACGAGCTATTATTCTGTGTGGCCGACCCAGCAGATCCAGCTTGTGATATTGTGCGTAAACTACAGACCATCTATCCACACGTACCATCCCGACTGATTGTTGGGGTAGAAGAGATTGGAGTTAATCCAAAAATCAATAACCTTCAGGCGGGTTATCTGGCCTCACAACACGAACTGATTTTGATTTCCGACGCCGGAATTTGGATGCGACCGGATACACTGACCGATATGGTCGCCACATTGCTCAACGATCCTCTGGTGGGCATGGTTCATCAGGTTCCATTCTTGACCCCGTATCTTTGTGATTCTACCGCACACACTGCCACAGATCACGAATCTCGAACGTTCAAATCAACTTCACCCAGTTACCCGCAACCAGTTCATGCAACCACGAGACCCTCGTTCGCTTGGCTTGTACAGCTGGTTTTTTTCGGCTGTTGGCATGCTAAAATTTCCCTTTGTGCCTCATTTTTGGGAATCAATTGTACCACAGGCATGTCATGCCTGATTCGTAAATCTATACTGACAGAAGTGTCCGGGTTCAAACCATTTTCATGTTATTTAGCTGAGGATTTTTTCTTGGCCAAATACTTATTGGATCATGGTTGGTATGTACGTGTGTCTCACCAACCAGCATGGCAGAATTCGCCATCTGCCTCGTTGGAACAATTCCGGTCCCGACTCAATCGCTGGTCTCAGCTACGACTGAACATGGTCTTGGCTGCGTATCTACTGGAACCATTTTCACGATGCCTTCCGAATGCCTTACTGGGTGCCTTTGGTTTTGCCTACATATTTCCCGACTTTGTGGATCCTGGTGTGTATTTTTTGTGTCATATGCTTGTCTGGTTTTTGTTGGACTACATTCTGTTATTGTACGTCTATCCTCCGTGTGTTCCTTTGTGCATTACACGTTTGGAATATTTGATAGCGTGGATATTCTCAGAGGTCACCGCGGTACCCAATCACATTGGTGCCGCATTCAAACGTGAGTTGCAATGGCGCGATAAAACATTCCGCATACATTGGGGTGGACTAGCCGAGCAGGTGTGTCCAAAACGTGTCCATCAATGCACACCCAAAACCGGGTGTGTAAATGCTGAGCTGATCACATCCGCATCCACCGTGTGAACTCGTGCGTGGATTGTTCCTTTTGAGCCGTTTGTGTACATCATCTCCCGCTCACCTCATCCGTATCCTCCATACGCGAGTCTTCCTTGGTGTCCATGTCCACCCTCGTACAACACCGTGTGTTTAGTCTGTATTCATTTTTACCGAATTCTATCGCCCTCTCTCTCTGTTCTTCCCGTGTCTCCTAGTCAATACTCTTTCGCTGTACATGGTCTCATACTCTTCACAATTCAAACGATACCGTTCATCTCGGTCTCTCATACCTCCCTCTCTTTCACACACTCATAAAACATGCCGTAGTATGTGGAATCATCTTTTGTATAGTGAATAATCTACCTGAATCTCACCAAAAACCCTTCCTTATGGGCAAACCCTGCTACTCCTAAAACACACGCACACAAACACATGAATATGGTTCTAACCGCAGGTACTTTGCTTTCAGACTACTTCTATCCTCTTCCTTTCATTCTGCTCCAGTTTGGTCGTATGCGACATCTCAATGTCCATTCCGCACATCGACTGACTTATCCAGACCATCCATATATTGTTCCAGATTTACTCCACGAATGCCAATAGCACAAATTCTTTGATCGTTAAACATTCTATCTGTGATGTGTTTTGCTGATTGTCCGGGACAAGGGACTGAACCTTTTCCCTGTCCCCGTCTAACCGCTTGTCCGACATTCCTCAAACTTGAAGTAAATTTCCCTGTGGGTCTTTCTTTTGGTTTCCTTGTTTCGGGAAATTTTCGTCGTTGTTTATCTTCTAACATTCAGCGGACAAAATTGTTCACGTATTTTTTCACAGGTCAACCATAGATTATCACACAATGTGAATTATTTTCTTCACTGAGTGCGCTTTTGTTGTTGTTGTTGGTGGTGGTGCTGTATTACCGGAAGTCTTGATTTATCGTTTTGACCGAAGAATACCTGGCTGGACAGATTGGTTGATGTTTTTGATTCGGACACAAACATGTGTTGTCTGTTTCTCGTCCTGCATTGTCTCGGATTTCTCATTTGTCGCCTTCCTTGTGTACAGACCGGCACACAACTCTGACCATAGATTGATTTTTCCTTCGGATAACCACGAATTGGATTCATTCGAACTCCCGGTTTCCTTGTTTTCTTTTTTGCCGTGTTCTGGTTTTCTTCATACCTGTCTCTATTTGTGCGTCACCCGCTCCTCCGGGTTTCTTTGCATGCCTCTATAACTCCTGTTTGAGTCCGGTTCCCCCCGGCTTCTTTTCTTCTGTTTTCCAGTTTGACTCAATCCGAACCCGACAGTAGCACGTACGCCCACGCACGTATGTGTGTGCGTCACGTGGCTACATACTGTGTGCTTGGCTTGTGACTTAGTGTGTGGTTTTGGACCCTATGTAACGAAATCGAAGTCGGGTAAATTGATGTTCGGCGAATTGATTTCTGATTCGTTCTATAGAGACACTACTGTGATTTAACTGTGACAGAGCCTGGATGTTATTGTTCTCGAAAGGGGTGGCTGTACTAGCACGTGAGTGTGGTAAAACATGTGTGACTCAGTGTACTCTTGGATTAACTCACATTGATCTAAGGAGCAAAGTATTCGCTTCTTGTATTGGCAGAAGGACAATACACTAACCATGAGAACTTGTGCTGTAAGGTTCTATGTTGGAATCCGGCTTAGGTTAGGAATGCCAGAATTCAAGAACAGTACTTTTACTTCTTGGATACTTCACATGAAGGTTGAATTATCCTTCTGAAGCACGATACTATTTTGAATCTGATTAGGCGCACCCTCCGTTGTATCTGGGACTCAACTAGTGGGTGTAAATTCATTCAATGGCATTCATGTCGGCGAACAACCGATATTGGTTCATTTTGCCATTGAGCACTAGCTCGTGAAGAAAATTAGAGACAGTAATCCCTGTAGTTATGAGGAACCTCTCTCTATAACTGGAACCGCCCACAATAAGCCCTGAGACTTCGAGTAAAGAACCAAGTAGGGCCCTGAGGAGATAGCCGTTATACTGGGTCGATGGTCACCTAGTTTGGATTATGTTTCAGGGCTCGGACCACAGCAATGGCAGAGCACAAAACCTCTTGAACACGAATAATACTAATACCATTGGTGATCTCGTTGCAGCTGATCTTCAGGAGTGGTATGATCGGGGTATAAAAGAGGTCAGCAACTTGCCTGTGGATCCCAAGTTGACGTTTTTTATACAACCTCGACCTCTAATTGGAAAACTGAAAGCACTCTTGTTTGTGGATCTCGACAAGGTTAAACCTAAAGAGGTGGTCCTTTCCAATTGCATTTCGTGTGATGAGACAGTTTTTTAGTTAATCAGTACAAACATGACCTTTCATCAGTCTTGGTTCTGAAGTAGCGTTTCGCGCTTCATGAGCTTGGAGTGGATATAAGATCTAAACATGCGGCCAGTTGGATCTTCCATAACGTTCATGAAATTAGGTGGACACCAGTGTTCGCTTAAATGGAAATTGGTAAAGACCGGACTGCTCATGGTTTGGGGTTGGGATGATGACTAGCAACCGAGTTCCATGGTGCTCTGCTATATGGGCCTAAGTCAACAAGAGATTTCACGGTTGTATTAAGGCCTGAGCAACCTATGTTCAAACTTTCAGTCTAAAAGAAATCATCGTTGCGATGTAGCTAGTATAGATAACGATCATGCACGTGGATCCATCGCTGAATTCTTTCAAAATTTAGGAGAGAACTATCGTATCTTCAGTGCGAGTCTGGCCAAGGAGTTCCAGAAATCAGGTGTATTAATCTGAGGAAATTGAAGCGGATAGAAGAATAGTGTTTACAATCAGACATTAATGTATAGTGGGTAAGTGCTTTCAGACTGAATGCTGCTAGCCAACTAAAAGAATGCCTCAATTGGTTTGTCATAAATGTCGAAACCTCTAGTATGGGCGATGTATCAAAACTAACGCTTATCATGCCCCTTCAGAATTTCACAGAAAAAAACAGTAATATGCATAACCTCTCACACAGTTGGAATGTCAAGCGTTCCGATGCTTTATGAAGTTGCGATTTGAATAATTCAACTGTAGGAGTACAGCGTGAGATCAAAGAGAATTCCATTCACCGTACCCTCTAACTGCACAGGAGTGATCCCAGCAACCTAAGTGACCGTTTTGGGCCCGCGATTTCAAAAAATGTTCCTTGAGATGAAGTCCACATAGATTATTGATCTCATGATAGATGAGGTGATAAGGGGATTACGGCCGATCACTATGGTGCAACTTAGAGATAGCCTTACCGATTAACACTGCTGAGCGACAGTGCCGCAAATTTCTAATTTGTGACGGGGACCTCAGCCTGCGAGCAACGGTCTGAGTGTGTTTTACAACGTCCGGATAAATGACACGAACGGACTAGCTTGGACCGTGAGCCACACGAAACGCGCGATAGGACAGATCACTAGCAGAAATCGTAATGACCCGGTTACTGAATGAGTACAATACAAATACGCTAAGACGGCGGTACTCAGCGCAATTCCCAAGAGAACTAGAAGAACGCCCCATGAGATTAATAAGATCCCGGAAACTAAATAGGAGAAAGAAAGGCCTTCAGGTGAAGTTGTATATTT